CACACACACACACACACACAAACCATCAGATCAAACGTATATATATATATATATATATATCAAAAGTTTGGCGTGGCTAGAGAAAAGCTTATTTGGAGAGGGACAGGCCTTACACAAAGTAAATGCTTACAATTATAGCCTGTATTATAAGAATATTCACTACTCCTTGTCCTTGTCAAATAAGACGCTCATTACCTCTAATTGCTTCTATAAAATATTTTATTTTGCAATTTTTAGCGCCCTCTATTGTGATGAACCTTTTACATTACGTACAAAAGAAATATCATTCAACACAATATTAATTCAACTTAAAAACAAAACACAACTAATCAAGAAACATGCTGAAGAGTGTTTTCAAAGTCAGGTTTTCAATAAATTGTTAAACTAATACGTCTGGAAAGATTATTAATAGTAAAACACGAATTGGATTAATTAAACTTGTTTGTGAGACGGCTCTTTCGCAAATTCTTGGTATGAACTTGACGGTGTTAGAAAATGTTAATAATCAAAACCTTTTAGTAAGTACATACTCTATATACAGTAGAGACGTCTCATTATTTCTAATATTAACTATAAATAGTAAAGAAATGTTTGCTTTTGTCTATTTGTTTTTAGTTAACCACAAAGCTTGGCTATCTGTGCTCTGCACACCACGGGTATCGTAACCCGGTTTCTAGCATTGTAAGTTCGCAGACATACCGCTGTTCCACTGAGGGGGCAGTAAAGAAAGGCCAGAAAAATAAAAAATAATTATATAAGTCGTTAAGTAACAGTTTCAAATACCTAAGTAAAGTAAAACCTGTGTTTCCGCTTCTTCTTCTCTTTGGCAGTCAAATAATAACAAAAAAAAATACAACCATGATTTACCTTCAATAGTGTATAAAAATTGAAATGCTTTAGTTAGTTTTTTAAACTGGGCTATTTACTGATTCGAAATTGGCAACATATCTGTCTTCAACATAAATCATTCAAATCCGCGTACAAGTTATTCTATTATATATATATTTCCTTTGGTACATATAAATATTCCGCAACTATCAAGATCTGAAATAATTTTTTTTTCTCAGCTCAACACTACCATTTTTAAG